TACCTTTGCTCTGGGCATGACAAAGAGCAGTCTTTGGGTACCCTGCTCCACCGTGTTTCCGCCGCGCATGATAGACTGGTTCACAACTAACATGAAGTCTTCTTTCCACCCGCCAAACGTCACTACGTGCTTGTATCTGTAGCGGCACATCAAGCGCTGACAAACGAACAAAGCAGCAACTTAAATCGCCAAAATGCAAATGTCATTACTTAGATAAACTAGGCCCATGGGTTGGAAGGTAAAGGGGACGGGGGGGGGGGGAGGAGTGGGTAAGTTCAAGTCTTAAGATTGGATGATTCGTTGGGATTGCAGTGTTCTGTGAATATTATTCATCAATTGAAAGTTTCGTTTGAATTGCCTTTTTAATCTTTAATTATAATGCTTCTCACCCTTAAACAGCTGGCAACTTACCAAGCTGTTTCCTTCCAGGAGATTAATACAATCCTCTTCAACTGCCAGCCAGACTGGCTGGGTATTGCTCACAGGCGCAGTGCGTTTCTTTGCAGCGGAAACTGTATGTTTTTGCTGTTGGAATAAAATAAGGAATTATCAGTACGTGCGTAGATTACTTAACAAGGTTTTATCCTATACTGCAAGGAGTTCAGCGCGCTGCCCGTTTACTTGTGCACCACACCGCGCACTTAAAATAAAGTAAAAAATAGTGCTGCTGCAAAATACGCTACAAAAAACCGCTTATGCAAGCCTGAGGCTTCTGTAGAAGCGTTCCACACAGGCTCAGCTTATAAACAAGATTTAAGAGACACAAACGGTTTGTGTATTCGCTTTCTCAGTGAAAATAGGCCCAGAGAGTAGTGAAGTGACTGATTGGTTCTCGCTCAAGTTTTTGTACCGATCACTACACAGAAACGATTCACCTCTACTTTACTGCAAATATGGCAACAAAAAGAATTGCATCCCAAACCTGCGCTTGGAAGAGCTTGCATCCGAAAAACGGCCATCGCCGGGCATTTTCGAGATATTTGTCCACACACTCTTTCACGCTCCAACCGTGCAGCGTCGACCATTTCTCGGCCATGCGCAGTGTCAATGCCCTGAAAAGAGTAAAGTACGCTACTGTCATGTTGACGAAACTGTTAAGTTTCCTTCCCAATCCGTTGAAGTCTTCCCCATCCTTGGACATCCTTGATTCTTTCTGATTCATAAAATGCCCTTTCGCAGCTTCATTTGTTAGTGATGTTCCTTTTGTTCTGAACGTAAGAGGAAAATCTGCGGTTTATAGGACAAACTGTTTTCATGCGATATTTGTAGCGAGTTGCACACCTTTTGCTGGTGTCTTCCCGTAGTGTTTTAGCACAAAACTTGGTGATAACGTTCACAATTCTCTTGCTCGGAAGTGAATTGCTTTGAGCTCTGTAGTCTCCATAAGAGATCTGAAAAACAAAAGCCATTTTAATCAAAGCACTCTCAAATTATCGTCACGAAGACAACAAACAGTTGTCTCCTGTTGTTCTTTGGGATGTCAATCAGTGCTCTCTTTTAGAGGAAGCATTGCCTTATGTCCTTCCCCTCCTCCCCCTCTTTACTTCCACCCCTCGCCCCAAAAAATGATACGAAGACGACTAAATAAATACATTATTAGAAATTTCGAATACCTGAGCCATGAGGGCTGCGAACTCTAAAGCCATCTCTTTGCTGACAGGAAATCGACCCTTGACGATGCTATCATTTGTCTGCAATTCAAATGAACACGAAATGTAAAACAACTCTTAGGATATTTGCGTGTCTAATGAACCGGAACCTTTTCCGATCAAACGTCGATCTCATATGTGAATATCGCTTATATAGTGCAAGCGTCCGTGCAGAAATCATGTCTGGAACAAACATACCAAAAAAAGGACTACAGACATTTTACATAGTTTTGAAACAAAAACGGAAGACAATTCAATACACGACGAGCCAAGTATATTATGAGCGGAAGAAGAAAAGAGTCTAAAAGAATTGTTAACAGGCAATAATCACCTGGAGTACAAGGAAGTACTTTTCTTTCTCTGTTTCCCCGCTGCTGAGGCTCTTGAAATGTAACCTAAACAATAAACAATTTGCAAAAATTTGAATATGATTAAATCATTTCCAACCATATTCCTAAATTCTCTGTTCACTCTCTTTGCTCAACAATCATATGCTTTCCTTGAAATCGGCCGGCGAACCAAAACGACGTAAATTTCTAGCTCGAATTTCTACTCGCATATGTATGTTCACGAAATAAACAAAATATTCTGTATATTTTTAAGTACAGTTCCTCACTGAGCCCAAATGAAAACCACTTTACGTAATGCGGACAGGGCTAACTGTCTTAAAAACTTACTTACTATCAACAGAGAAAAATGAAACTGGATCGCTAGAAAGCAGAATAACTTACCTGTTCTTGTAGGTGAGTTTGATCATTCTACTAGTGTCCAGTTTTCCTTGGCTTTGACTTCGTAACGCCTGTTCCCATTTTGAAATCACATCACACAGCTGTGGAGACGACAACAGTCAAAAGCGTCAGTTGTAAATGTGTTCTTTGTATTGGAAGGAGAGGAACGAAACTTGAAACTTTTTGAACTCGATCGATATCTGCGACAAGCGGGTCCTCCAGGCACACTTACGTCCAGTTTAAAAGGGCCACTATCCAGTTCGGCACTTCGTTTAATGACTTTAAGTGGCATTTAAGCCTCGTACTTGGACAGTTCGGAGGCGTGGAAGCCAGTTCGACGCAGCAATAGAGAAATATTTGAAAAATGTTTTACAAGGACGTATTACTAACCTTGACTTTGACTTGTAAACAGTGTTCTACTAAATTAACAGGATTATCCGTGAAGAGTGCATATCCACTTTCCGAGGACGAGCGAATGCCAACCATCTGTGAGAGATAAGATAAATCAGTTTAACTAAAAACACGAATGGGCCAAACCGATGACAAGACCATCATAAGCCATAAAAAACCATCCTTAAACTCACGGTTTAAGTAGCAGTACCTCTCCATTTCTTGTCCGCCATCGCAGCATAGCATATACTTTAAAAAAAGCAAGGCGGCCCATTCTATCTTATTTATTTATTTATTAATTTTTTTAAGTCTATTTATTTATTTTGCCACTTTGTAATTACATTACACTAAAGGCTCCTCGTAGTTTACAAAAGTAAGGTATCGGTTATATGGCGTGATTAAGGTACAAAATATTTTGAGTTAAAAGGTAAGAACACACACACACATAAAACAACAACTACAATAGCAGGCACTCAAACAAACATGTAATTAAGCAGCTTGAGAAAAGTAAGAAAAAAAATAAGAATCGGTCAGGAGTCAGGTTCGGAGTAATGCTCACAGTTCAGACTTAAACAGGTTAGTCTGCCACTGCACACAAATCTGTAATACGTTAACTGAACCACGTGGCTACTTCCGAGTTATAACCCGTACCTTAAAATAACTGACCTGACTTTTCTATTGTTTACTTACTCTATTGATTGTCTCCGAAAACTCTTGAATAGTGGTAGAACCATCAAAACCAAATACCTGACAATTGAAACGAAGAGAAAAAAAAGGATATCGAACAGCTGCATCAGGCGTGTAATAGAAACAAACGCGTGGAGGTGATTAAAACCCACGGGACCATCATTTCAAGAGGTAAAACAAAGTTGGTAACTCGCTCTAAGCAAGGGAACACAATTTCTTGCAAGAGTTTTTTTTTTCTATAAATTCAGTCAGAAACAGGGAATTTCTGAAGATATGACAATTTATAGTTCGTGAAGGTCAGTTTACTCGTTAATGATCTTTTTTTATCTAAACTTACTTGACTAGATCCATCAAAAAAGTGCACTGGAATGCTCATCAAACATGAATGATCATAGGGTTTCCGCAGCAAGATGGAGAGAACCTGGACAAAACATCGAAACAACATACGAGTTCTTCAAACAATTGTTAACGCAGAGATAATCACTGACGAAAGGCCAACGCTCGAAACGTCAGTTTTCGAATCTCTCTACGGTGGTCAATTCACATAAAATCAAATTATCTTGCGAACCCTCCCCCCCCCTACTCCCACGGACGCAGCATCACAGATTATTTAGGAACTTACCCCCTTTATCCTTCAGACAATTGCATATCTTGAGCAACTTTGTTAATAATCATTCAGCAAGCCTACACAAGTTTTGCGTTTGTTTCTTATACATCTAAATTACCCACTCACGACAGTTTGCCCTTCTCACTTGAGCGGAAACGTTTCATTCATCTGATCCGCACTTCCAAAATTTGAAAATGCAGGTCTCCGGTTTCATAATTTCTACCATCTCGACTAATCGGCTTTAATCTTACACTAGTATGTCTAATAATTCGTCTACCACAGGGCTTAAACGTTCGCCATTCTCGCTAATCATCCTCAGATGGTTTCCTTAACCCGTTGACTCCCATGATCCGATTAGTAATTCTCCTTACTCTCTGCCATACAATTCTTGATGTTACTTCGGAGAATATTGAATTGGATCAACTAATAATCAAGAAATGGTTAGATATTCTAGTCTTCTCCGATAGGGACGAATAAATGGAGGTCCCGTCTCCTGCAGGGTTGGGGTAGGAGACGTTAATTTCCCACATACGAGATTACAGTGTGATGGATGTCCTCCCCTGGGGTGGGATGGGTGGGATTTTGGGCGCACTTAATTTGGAGCCTAGCTCTGTTGTGCGACCCTTACCACACTCTGGTGAAAGTGATTAAATATAAATATAAATATAAATCCCCTCGTTGATATTTTTCTTTATTCTCATCACTTGCAGAGCTTTCAATAAGACCCGGCACCCGCCGGCGCTCAGGCAGGTATTTTGTTGTGAGTCGCCGGGTACTTTTCACCGTGCTCAAGTCGCGGTTATCACGCTCAAGTCGCACTCAAGTCGCTCTCCGGCGGGTGCTGTACCGAAGTAGCAACCTAATTCAAATCTTATTGAGAGCACTGCACTTGTCTGCTTGATATTGTATTGATATTGTAAGGAGAAATTCTGTCTTGATCACTCACGGGAGTTAAAGGGTCAACGTTTATGTTTGTCTCATAATTCCAAAACACGTCTTGCCAACATGGCCTTACCTCCAGTCTCGACGGTCTGGCTTCTCGTTTCCCATTTTGTAAACTTCTTTCTAAGCTCCGGATACAATAAGTTGCGTATTTGCCAAGTTTTGTCCTACGCAGAGACAAAAGGATGAAAACGTAAAAGTCAAGTCGGTGAATTATGTCAACAAAGTTTGGAAACCCCATAAAAGGATGTCGAGGCACCCACCAAAACCAACATTTACACATGTGGAGCGGTTAAAGTTGTGGAAACAAAGGGAAATGAATGGCCAGTACTGACTGCCATGCCTCAAGGTTTGAAGCCCATAAAATAAAATAAAATAAACACAAATTCAAAGAATACCCCAGCGCATCACTTTTTTAGTCGTTTTTTTTTTGTTTTGGTTTGGAGCTTATGGGACTCTATAAATGTGTTCCAACCCATACTTACTTGAAAGTAGACGTTCTATTCAGATGTCCCCTAAGGAAGAGAAGGAATTTCTTTTTAGGGACAAATAGAGCTGTACACAGCGATAACAGTTGCCAGGCTTGAATATAAACGAACTCTTGCACTGGACGTAAGTCGATTGTTGCTTGTGAAGCGATGTCAAACGAGTCTTCTCTGAGCCATGAAGACTTTCCACAATGTTCCAAGAAGTGCTGAAGGAAAGAGAGTTTTAAAAACTCTACAATTACAGTTTGTTCACAAAAACAATTCTTTTTAGCTTTTTTTAAGAACATAGAGCAAACCCTCGTTTATTTCATGTTAAGGCGAACGTTTTACAGAAACTTACAAAGTTCTCTAAGGAGCATTTGCAGGTGTAGGGTTACGATGAAGAATTTTCTTGGATAATCCAGACTCAGTTGAACTTTTTAAAAATACACTAGAGCTGTAAAGTTTACGTGACAAATGAAATCGAACTTCTACTTCACGTAGAAATAAATCTCTGAAAAGGAAGATGTACTGATTTCCAAGGCAATGATTTACTTGAACAGGAAGGTAGAGAACTCTCAGAGCAGATGAAGATAACAACAAGAATACAGCCTGTTACTGTATGCCTTCACGCGAAAACTAACAGTAAGGAAACTGGAACTATACATAGATCACAATAAAATAAAAACAGAAAAAAAAAGGCAGCAGAATGTGAAACCCACCCCAAGATCCTCAGGTCCCCTGTGCACGTGTTTTGATGTTTGTTTAATCAGCTGACAGTAAATCTCGTTCTGAAGTTCTGGGTTATCAAGACATGTCTGCAAGGCATTCTGGGCTAGTGACACGTGATAGTCAATGGCTGCTTCCTGTGTCTGTACCGTGGTGAACAAGTGGATGGACTGGGGAGAGGAGAATAATAAATTTATTTTTGCAAGTCGGACAGTTATCTCGATAAGTTTAGCTGTCATTGCCGCTCTGTCCAATACAGATGAAACTTAATCTACTTTCTGTAACAGCTAGTGCATGCATGAGAGGTGCTGCTCTTCCTTCAATGGTGTGATTGTTCATGACAAGTAAATGTCTAACATTTCCTGCCTGTATGGTTGCCATAGACGAGTAACGATAGGTATTGTTCCCTAGGGGAACAGGAAAGGTGCTACGCACGAGAGAGGAACTATTAAAGAAAATTAGATTATATACACAGTTCCCTAATACATATTTGTATTCTAAGCAGGAGAGTGGCAAAATAAGAATTCTTGACCAGGATCATAGACACATTCACCCTTAGAGTGGCTCCAGTCTATACTGCTCATAAAGTATTTCAGCGTTCAAACATCACACCCATATCACTGACACACAAAGGGATACACCACCATTTGGATCATTCATTTATCTAACAATCATGTTTTTCTTCGACTTTTGAGCAATGAGAAGTAACAAAGAAGAGGAAAGGAAGAAGAAAATAAAAACGTGCTATGGGTTCTGATCTCCTCCTCATAACATACAAAGCGGCAGATTAACATTTAAGTGAGTTGTTGTTCCAACCTTGAAGAGTTTCAAAGCCTCAGCTCCTAGTTCCTTGGATGGCAGAGTTGTGAGTGGTTCAATGATCGGATCTTTACTATGCGTCAACACATAGCTGTTCCATATCTCACTCTCTGAAATAATCAACAACATACAAATCGAAATGATTAGAAAAGAAACTACAATTAATGGTCTTAACCCGGTGTTGAAGTGGATTTGAGCCATCGCTGATTTGGACCTCTCGCTCTTCAGCTGGGGGGAGGGGGGGGTTTCAAATCCGCTAAAAAACCCAGACTAACAATTGGTCACAGGGGCGCAGCCACTGTGTCAAAAAGAGGGTACTCAAAGTTTAGCCATGTCGACCTCCACGCCGTGTATTACTTAATTATGTGACAAAAAAGGCCTACAAGGGGTAGTCACGGGCACCTCAGGAGCCCCCCTTCCCAGCTTGTGTCATGTGGTCTAGGTGAGGGTAGTCCTGAGAACGATTGATCTCTGATGATGACTTCCTCTTGGGTTGACGAAACGCCAGTTATAACCAACAGCGGGAAATAATAGTAAATGACCCGAAAAGAAACCGTAACACCCTCTTATGAATAGCTAAACTGTGTGACAGGCGGGAGCGGGGAAGGGAAAAACTATGAAGAAAAAGAGCTGTTGTTACCTGGATCACAATCTTCAACAATGAGTTGGTAGATGCTTTTCTCGAATTCTGTTCCCATGTCATCGATACCACTACCTGATGCTACTTTTAGATGGAACAGCCATGAATCCTAAGGCAGAAGGAAAAGGAGCCCATGACTGAAGTGTCAGCATTTCGTAATATCATCGTTTACTGGAGAGGGGTGAAAGTTGGCTCTCCCACTGGAAGAACAGAGAAATGATCGACCATTTTCAAACCTTTTCTTCCATTGAATCAATCAACAGGTATGTAGTGGAAGGTTGTTTAAGGGACTTCATCACCAAAGTGAAGTGGCGATACGGAACTTCATCAGTGTTCAAGGTCCCGTCCTCTGAGTCGGGTGACTCCAACTCCTCAACTACCACGTCAATCATATGAGTCATGCTAAATGGCACCTGGCAAATGAGAACAAGAATTTTAAAATAGAAAGGGAATTTTGCGCTTAGATTGGATGACTTTTTGATAAATATTCAAATGATTGGTGGACGTTTTGACCTTCCTTTGATTGTGCAAAAATCCGTATTACATCTTGAAAAAAATACAGTAGAATGATCAAATTTTGGATCAACAACACCGTCATCAACCAATGCATAACCAACAGTTGAGTCATTCTTCAAAACAATTAAGTAAAAACTTTGCCAAGGGAACATTTTTTTTCATAAGCAATGGCTGCCATTTCATTGAAATTCTGTGGCCTGCTGTTCAGGAGGGGTTCTTCTGAGACAATGGTGTAGAATTCCACATAAAAATCCTACTTACAGTGCATGGATTCCTTCCCAATCTTAACTCAACATCAGAAGAATTCTACTCTCCACAACGGGGGAGAAAGTAACGGTTGGCACACTAAATAGCTCAGAGTAAACAGCCTCAGAAAAATTCCATTAGAATTAACCATATTGAGCACGTTTTTTCTTTCTTCTTAGAAACATTACTTACCGAATCATCGTCACTCTTATAATAACAGAGGTACTGACCACGAAGAACACTCCAACACTTTTTGGAAGAGCCATGCTTCACCTAGCGGAAGACAAAAAACATACAGGAAGTGAATGAATTTTCGACTTTAGACATACTTAGAATTAATGACTTGGGTTACGAACAATACATTCAATAGGGCAGGAGTCTGACAAATGCAGTGTACAACATACAATATGAACCTAACAGCAGTAGTATCATACCTTTGTGAGCCAACCTTTCACTATTTCTTTGTCCTTAACTTGGGCAAATAATGGAGTGCTTGAAAACTTCCTCATGACATTATGAAGAACTACAACATTCAAATGAAACAATTATTGATAATAAGTCTAACACATATTAGTAACACAATCTCTTTAAACCTATCTCTCTATGAAGTAGAATACGTTTGGCACCTCCTTTTTAGCTACCAGCACAAACACTAACATGCAAAAATCCAAAATAGTGATTGCTAGGTGAGTTGAAGTTTGTAATCTTTCAATTTTTTAAAATTTAATTGGATTGTTCACATTTAGCATGAAAGCACTGAGCATCAAAATGAAAAGTGAAGAATTACTATCATACAAAACATGTAAGAATGTCTGAGTACCTCTGAGCCAGCTATCCACAACCTCTGTTGTCTCACCAGTCAAGTAAAAAGTCCTTTTAGGAGTGGCAACCTTAAAATCAAGCAGGCAATACAATGAGGGCACATAATTATGAGTAAAGAAAATGCTGAATAGCACCAATATCATGGGACCCGCTGGTTCCAAATACATGTACCAACAGCAGTCTATCTTAATTAGCTATTAAGCAATGCTAATAATTTTAAAACAAGTTTGAGACCACCTACATGTAGTACTTGAGATTCTTACTTCAATTGTAAGTTCACCATCAGTCCGTGCAATTCTGCAGCTTCCATCCAATGGAATTTGACCCAAGGGTTTCCTATTGACATCATTCTGCAACAATCAAATAAATAAAAACCAATGTGATACATAAATTATAGTCTACACCAGAGAGCAGAAAGAAAAGTATCAACTTGATAAAGTACATGCTGACTTCATTATATGTTTGACAGAGTACCTCTGTTTTGTAGTAGTATAGATTGCCGTCATGGAGGACAAACCATCTTTTCTTCCAGTTCTTCACACGGCCTCCTAGTTTAGTAAGGTAACCTTCCTTTCTTTGATTTTCCTACAAATTGTAAAATCAAGAACAAAACAAATTAAAGCAACACCAAGCACAAGTTCACCACTCATTGGTATCTTATCTGCCAGTTATTAAGCAATGTATAAAGCCGTACATATTAACTATGGATCACATTCCAGTCCTTGGAATAACCCGATGAGGAATTCTTAAATAAACACATTTTCTGGTGGTGGCTCTCTTTTCATAAAGCCTAAATATGAGGTTGATTTTCTGTTGTCTTGCAGACAGAGATGCTTTCAAACAAACCGAGTTTGAAAACTTGCACTTCACTTGCCTTGCCACAATCTGTTTTTATGAACCCTTTGATGAGCAAGATGTAATTTGTAACTCCTCTAAAGCTACATGAGAGGTACTCATCTTTGTACAAAAGTAAAGAGAGTGTACAATAGCAAATATTGACAATGTACACATGTAGGAAGAAGTTAAACTTATGAGTTTCAGAGTTAAGGTTACAAGAATGCTGTAAGAGTACATCATTGTGTTTACCTTTTTCAAGCTGACAGTTGTGTATGTGGCACAGGTTTTTAAAACACGCTTGGTTTCTTCAAGAAGCTCATCCGTGTCCTGTTTGAAGTTATGGTGTTCTTCAGTTGCTCCCAATTCATCTGGTGGAGTACAATAGTCTCCTGCTGAGCTTTCATCATCAGAAGAGTCTGTTGATTCTCCAGAAAAAGGTGTGTTTCGAATCTGAGAAGCTCTCTGGGTCAAAAAAGAAACATAACCTGTAAGCATTAAAATTAATGCTTTCAACATATAGTTTTGCCCGTATCAGATGTCTATGCACTTGAGCAAATCAAAGTGCTAGGTCATAAAAACAACGTAATCTTCATAAAAGATCTTAAAAGATCATATCTTCTCGTGTACATACCCCTTTCAGTGTTGTGTAAACAGGACAGCTTTGTTCCTGTAGAATGTTCAAGGTGAACTCAGGGTTAATTATAAACAAAATTAATGTTATTAAAATGTAACAACTGTGCCCCAAATCTCTGATGTGAGAGTCACCTTAAAAAGAAAAAAATGTAGAGAAGGTTACATATCAATTATAATCAACTTAAATCAGTTTTTCAAGTATAAATTTAGGATCATGGATGATGATTAGGAAGCATGTCTTGTGCCACACAATTTTTCTTTCACTAACTTTTGCTTTTGGCATTTTTCTTTGACACTATAGCTATTAGGTGTATGCAAAATGAGCAATGAGGAAGTCACGCTAAAAGTAGTAAATGCATGTGAGTCATAAAGTTACTCTGTAATCTCATGTTAAGTATAATATGTCATACCGTTAACATGTTGAGATTTTTAGTCCGTGTCTCGAGTGTCCCAAATGGTGGTGTATCTGAACCAGCTGTGAACAAAAAGTTGTTAACATTTTCACCTCCCCAAAAACAATTCATTGTATGGTCCTTTAAATCAATGATTTTTAAATCCTTACACTGGCTATATTAATTTTGCTGATTACAGTTTTCCAGTTATAATGTGTCACTTTAAACATTTCCATATACCCTCTACCATGCAGAACATATGCACCATACCTCATTTCCTTCAAGTCCAATATATTTGCCAATACATTCTATATTGCCATGCAATTTCTTTTCAGTAACTGGTCACAGATAACTTAAAAATGCAGTAAGAATTAAAAGAAAAAAGTGGTACATGAGGCACAGCCCATACACATGGGAGCTAACAAAAACTCAAACCAATTTGTGTCAGTGTGCACTATGTCTGGCTTATTTTCCTCCCCAAAATCCCACCTCCACAGTGGTTCCAGTCTTCATGGTTTCAAAGTTTCACTGTTAAGTCCAAATCATGTTAGAAATGCAAAGCTCATACCTGAGTTATCATTCCACATCCAAGAATCAGTTCTGTTTGATGGCAACAAAACTGCAGCGATGTCCACTTTATTACCTTCAGGGGCATTGCCATTTGGTAGGTCTGTTTCTGATAAGTAACTAGTAAAATTTCCCTTCAACCTAGTGACATCTTGCATTTGTTCTTCTTTGTTTGTTCTTGGCACAGGTGGAACAGGTGGAGGTGCAACATTTTCTAGTTCAAAGCGGGGAGGGACTGGTGGCGGAGGGGGAGATAGAGGCACACCACTATCTACCAAGGGTTTCCTCGCCACAGCTGAATCTGTGCAAGTTCTTACAGAGTCTGGCTCTGGTTCAAGAGTTTGATAAATTGGATTAGCCGTAGAGGCATCTTCTGTAGAGTAACCCAAAGAAGATCTACTATCAGACAAAGATTCTTGTTCATTTTGTGAAACACTTGGAGTTAAACTTCCATTCTCCAATTGTAGAGTCACTAGCTCACCAAGCCTTGCATGAAATTCTTCTCCATGAACACCAGGTTCAACAGGTTGTACATAAGTTTCAAAGGAACTGTCATCTATTTCTGAATCTATTGTCGACTGGCTATCAAATTGTTTTCTCTGTGACATTCTCTCTAAAGGAGTTAACTGCATGTAGGGATTATGTGAGTCTTGTATTTGTATAAAAAATTTTGCTCGAGAACCTCCTGGACTCCTCATTCCCCTTTTGAGTGACATATAATATGATATCTGAGCGGCTCTCTGATCCTCTACAGTCCCAATAAATCGAGGAATTTTTGATGGAGATTTTCCACTTGATGTTCTCTTAATTTTAATTTCTGCAGCTTGATCTGATATGAAAGCACTAGAATCGTCCCTATCATCATCATTAGTTGGTGTTTTAACGAGTTCATCTGGTGACATGGGCGTCGGTGTGGTACATCCTGAGCCTAATGAATTTACTGGTGACTCATTGCACACAGTGTCTTCAGTTAGATATGATTGAAAACCAGATTCTCCTTGGTTGGTTTCTGGTTCTAGCTCATAATAGTCGGGAGACTGCGACTGGATGTCTGCGAGTTCATGGGATAATCTCAATACTTGATCTGTTCAAACAAGATAATATACAAACATTTATCTTAGTTGACAAGTACTACAACACACAAAAGCTTTACCAATAAGCTGTGTTGCTTTAGGAGTTACCATAACGACACAACATTAAGGTTTCTCTTTCCAGTCACTGTTTACAATATAATGGAAAAAATAAACAAAAAAAAAAGTACGTAGAACCAGGGCTCAGCAGTATAACGGTAGTCAACTATCCACAGACTAGTAGAAATTCAGTTTTGGCTAGTTATTTTCAATTTCCACTAGCCAGTTTGGTTAATAAACAAACTGAAATTGTTGTAACATTTAAGTTGTCACTAGCCACTTGGCTAGTAAGATGAAAAGTTAGTGTCAAGCCCTGAGAACAGGTTCTTGTAGTGTCAAGAGGGTAATGATCTTGTGAAGATACTATCATTATACTGTTACATGAATACAGTTAGAACTTGCTCTGAAAAGAAAGATGTTCTTTCCTAGATGACTTGAACATAAAACGGCTGTAGTTTAAAGGAGCTGGTTTGTTTATGTTGCTTTTTAGTTGCTCCAAGTTCTTGTTGTACCAGAGATAAAAGTACATCACCCCATACAGGTTTAGTGTAAGGGTATCTGAAACACTTTGTCCTTGTAGGTGAAGGATCACATACATGGGAATGTCTATTTATTTTTCTTAATGCAGCACTATTTGGGCATTTCTATGCCATTATCAAGTTTATGAAAGTAGCAGTTGCTTTACAGGAAACCCCTAATGTTGAAGAAGTAGGGGTGCCACAAGGTGTTGGATTTGAAAATATAGCATACCTTGGGAAAAGCTGAGCTTTGTCTCAATTTCCTTGACGACATCCATGGCTTGCTTGTGAGACCTTTTTAAATGGTCATTTTCTTTATTCAGTTCTTCTAACTTCTCCTCATACTAACAGAGATAAGGTAAAAGCTGCTTGTGACATGTGGTTTTCTTTCCTTCCACATAATAAAACAACAAGATAACATGTACCTGGACCAGAATTAGGTCCATCAGAGTGGATTCCCGTGAAAAACTGTCTTAAGAGTAGATTAAATTACTGTACCCTCCACATTTTCAACACTACAGAAAAAAAGATATCTCTAGACATATAATAAAAGTACCTCTGAAATCTTCTTATGCATCCAACTCTTTATATGAGCAGCTTTTTCTTCCACTTCCCTTTCACGGATGAGTCGCTTTTGTTTCTGTGAGAAATATTGAGAAATATTTCGCTTAGTATTTGCAACTAACAAGTTAAGGTAGCCTCCATAAAGTTTCCTCTTCACAAAAGAGATGGGACTAACACAGTCTCATTTACACAGTTCCCCCTTCCCACCCCACCCTAGAGCAATAAGGTTTCCCTAAAATGTAAGGGAGAGGGGAGAGGTTGGTAAGAAAGGAAGACACTCTGAGAATGAGGCAGGTTCAGTACTGATACACCAGTACCTCATTTTCCAGCTCTTCTTGTAGTTGTGCAACTGTTTCTTCTTTTACTGAGAGTAGTGCCTGTAAATGCTGGACCTGAGATGTAAAAAGAAAGGCAACCCTGTCAGGTTCAAGTTAAGACTTAAACTACCTGCACTTAGACAAATGACCAAAGGGGGTAAGCTTCTAAAGTTGAAATTGTAAATTGGCCACCTTAGAGAATTAAAAAGCTGAAAAGCTAAAAAAGCTAAAAAATCTAAAAAAAGCTAAAAAAGCTAAAAAGCTTGTCACAGCAAATGAAGTGGTAAATTGGCCACCATAAAGAGTTAAAAAGCTGACCTTTTAAGCGAAGCCCTTCGTCAGAGCGAATGGCGAAGGGCTAACGCTCGAAATGTCAGCTTTTTAACTCTATACGGTGGCCAATTTACAATTTCAACTTAGTTATTACCAAATTACATGTACTTAGAGTTTATCTAATATAATTCTTTATACTTCCAGAGATGATAAGTTTTAGTTTCAAAAAGCCACAACTAACAATTGACTGCTTTTCAAATTGATACATTCAAAGTTTCAACCCTTGTGTGACCAAGAACATAGATTTTGTTTGTGATAATGTGGTAAAGGAATAAATAAAGTTGTAAACATTACATAAAAAGGTCTGTTAATTTGTTAAGTGTCCAACAATTCTAGATTGGTTGCAGAACAGTTCAGAGAATTAAGGTAATAGTCCACCTAAGAAAAAGATCTGTGTGAGAGCTACAGTACTAGTGTAAACACAGAGAAAAAGACATACACTGTAATGATCACGATTAAACTTTGGGAAACGAATTGTCTACAGCTGTACAGCTGTATATGTAAGGTAAAAACAGAATTATTTGTTCAAAAAGTGACCAAGGCTATTAATAACAACATTTTAGTTGAGTGTGTTACAGGTTAAGGAGTCAAAACATTAGTATTAGTACCTCCTGAGCAGATTCGGTAGCTTTTGCAGAAGCACTCGTCGCCTGTTCTTCCAAGCCTTTCAACTTTGTAGAACAAAATTAAACAATCTTCAGTGTTAAGTGCAGTAAATAATATCAACCATTGTTAAATAGATGTTAGCAGAGAGAGACACAATGTATAGCTGTTGCCAGTAAGCTAATTGCTGATACAAAATAAGACAACTACCACTAAACTAAGTAGGTTTTAGCCACAAAATAATCTTGTTTTAAAACACCTAATAAGTGTATAAAAAAATTGCCAACAACAACAATAAAATTCACATGAACATAAACTTGTTACACAAACTGAGGTGTACATGTTTGGTTAATTCTCAGTTTTTCCTAACTTGTTGATAACAAAAAGGATATAAAACAAGCAACAGCATATAAAAAATTGCCTCCTGAAAACTCACTCCCAGAGGTGATGCACAATCACTCTTCACTATTCTTTCAATGCAGTTCAACCTTTGTTTACCCATAAGTGATCAACTATATCGAACCCAATAAAACAATCAAGATCAGCCTAAAATCTTAGTTGAATTTGTTCAAATCAGTTTGTCTTTGTTTTCCTTTGTTGCTAACTCAATACATTAATTAAACTTAATCTGAAAAAAAATGAATAAAGCTGGCAAGTTTCTCAAGAGACTGTGGTGCTGCATTGGTGGGGGTATTACAAAATCATTAATTTTAGCTTTTATATACAGGTATAAGCTGAGTTGATAATGTGAATTGGCCATTGTACAGAGATTCTATAGCTGATGATTTGAGCAGAAGCCCTTCGTTAAAGTGAATCCACCAGAGTGAATCCCTCAAATTGATTTAAAAAAACATACGCCAAGGAAAAATCTGAATTAAAACATAGATAGGTGTATAAATCACATCATCTTCTTTCTAATATCTGTATTTTATCACTCAAATTTGTCCCAGAGAGCAAATCTGAAAAGACAACGAGAGGTTGCCCAAGCATGGAGGCCCCTCTGTTATGGTCCATAAGTTAAGGAGCGAAGGCAGTTGCATGAAGTAGTTGACAACAATGATTCAGAATAAATTTATAACCACAAATGATACTATAATAGTGAAATTTGTGAAACATAACAAAAGGAATTCATTGAGTCTAAATAACATAAAATCAATTGCTTTACTGTCTGAGTGTAATGGTACTGAGAAGGAAGATTCCTCTACTCTCCTCAAACAAAAGCTAAACTACTAATAACGATCGCAACAACTCTCAAGAACAGAGAGTTGCATGAGAGGCTAAAATTGGGGCAACAGTATGTATGTTTGATCATGTAACATGCATAAATACAAAATGAAAACAGTGACAGCCTTGCAATTGAAAGCTGTCAGACTTGAGCCATAGACATACATGAAGGTCCTGTGAAGTCCGTCCATGTTTTCAAATCAAACCAAAATCATTCAAGATTATCAAATTGAACATGAAATTGGTTTAATATTCTACAATCTGAACTATTCTTGTACTTTCTAGGCAAATTCTTACCTCTGTGGTGTCCATCTATCCTAGCAAATGATTATTTCAACTCAAAGCTGATACTCAGTGATACAAAACTTGACTCAAGTTATCATGTAAATGTACATGTAAATGTAGTTCCAAGCAGATTGAATTTAGTGGCACAAAAATGTCAATTGCTAGTCAACAGTGTCAAATATCACAATATCAGAAAAAGGTCTTCAGTAAGGTTTGACATATGTAGCTGTGACAAATAGAGAAAAAAATTAAAATTTAAGAAAACAGAAAGCAGCAGCAGTTAACCTAGAGATGCTGGCAACAAGCAGTTGCCTTTTATTAAGACCCCTATAAAGGTGCAACTTAAAAACTAATATAATTTATGATAGCCTAAGTGAGGAATTGTACAGGACCTAATCTAATCTAAAATAATATTTTAGGAATTAGAAATAAAAAGCTGGACAAAAGCCATTTTCAACATAAAACCGAAAGTTACAATCCATACATAATTCATTTTATAAATGTCAGAAGTTAGCTGCTCAATCATGCCTGATAAATATGAAGCACGCAATAAATATTTACATAATGCTCAGTATAAAATAAAGTAGTTCTAATGTAAACTTGAGTATATGCTGTACTTGACTCCTAAAAATAATTTTAGCAGACAACTTGTATCAAATTTATGGCAGGTTTAAGAACAGACAATCGGATATTCTACATGATTTGAATGTATCTGCGAAAGAGGAAATCATTTATGTTAACACATTTAAGAAACACATTTTTCAGTAGATTCCCCTTCTGAGAATAAGGACTTATACTTTAATTTCGACCTTACTAATATATTTCGTTTGATTTTCCTTTGTCTTCGACACTGTTAACGCCATACTTAAAAGAGAACTACGTAGTTCGAAATAATCTCCAAGCTATTTTGGTAGAAAAAAATTCCAATCATTCATCGTCTAATAACTAAATTGAGAGCAATCGAGAACTTGTCACAATGCGATTTCCAACAGCTGTTGTTCCAGTGAGACCATGTGCGGAAAAATGTTCGTTTCCTTGAGCGTTTTAGCTGAATCACGCCAAACACGATGTTTGAAAAAATTTCTGCATACTGTTTTGTGTGCAAACATTCTCATTTATGAATCATTAACAGGTGAGAGGTCGACTTAGCAATTGGCTTTTTTCAAGCTTCTCTGATCCACTCAGGGATGGACTGCAATAACTACGGGCCATTTGCGTGTTAAAAACGCGAGCTTTTAATCCTGACCTGAAAAATCACCTTTTATTTCAGCAGTGCTGAAAATTCTCGTTACTTCGAAAACGAAGGTGTCGATTCGAATGAAATGTAGTGATCTCAAATTTCATATTTGCTCAAATGGCGGTTTGTCTCTGCTTAATGCTATGGGTGTCGACTGTAGCTGTTTACTGCCGCGAAAATGTTGAAGAGATCCGCATATTTGAAATAAATCGGAAGAATACAAATAAAAGGGCATCCTAGAGAGAAATGGAAGTTTAAGTGAGTTCTTGTTATTGTCGATCAGCTGAGCATAATTTCAATACAAACGTTACTACACACAACGCTACGAACTCGAGATCTCTCAAGATAAGTTATATTAAACCAAACCGCGAAGAATTCCGTGAAAACAAAGAAACAAATAAAGCCATGTGATACATGTGGAACAGCGCATTTATATAATACATGGACAGAACGGAAAACTTACCTTTTGACCAATGACTTCGCGAACTTTCGTTGCTTGCTCTCGAAATTTTTCCAGTTGGCTTTCCAGATATTTACATCTTTGTTTGTAGTCAATCTCATTTTCTCCGACTTCTGTAGAACATACTTGCGGTCCGTTAGTTCTTGATGAATTATCCATCCTTACTAAAACTTGAGAAGCAGAAATAGCGGTCAAATTTCCTGGGCGCGAGCGAATTTTTCTTCTGTCACTCGAAATATCTCGCGTGTAATGGCTAAACCTTCCTATCTGTTACTCCGGTCTAATCCCTATTTCAGTGAATAGAATGTTAAGCATCTTGTTTGAACCTCACATGACGGAAAGCCAGTACGGGCGAAACAATTCACACTGCGGTTTCACCAGTTCCGAGTGCAACATCAAGAAGTGTGCTAAGTTTTGACCCCACTTGTCGCTCGGCCTGTGATGTCATCTACGCGACTTCGGCGTGACAAAACTTCTTAATCTTGTAACAACTTCATTAACAAGGCCACCCATTCTTTGAGACAAAGGTAACACCGTGGGTGTGTAAACATTGCTAGGAGAAGTCAAAATATATCAAAATGTTCGATTTAAAGTAAAAAAAAAAATTTCTTGCCTTAATCACGAATCCTTACGAATATCGTACGACTGATAAGTTCGTTACATCGGCACGTTTCGTCTCCCTTAGCCACAATGTTCTCACTTCCGGTTATGTAGGCGCGCAAAATAAAACCGTTTCCGATAGCTTGTATTGTTTTGGAGTCTCTCATGAGAGAGGCACTTGCTAAGTACGTGACTTCGAATGCTCAATTTATTTACAAAAGTGACCCATTCGATGACTCTGTTTGAAAATATTTCCGTCATATTGTGTGGAAAAATCTTGAACCGAAAAAAGGATATACGGATAGATATACATTACGAGAGAAATAAATGATTTCATGACACGATCACGCTATTCTAAGTCAGGTAAATTTTCTGTCTTTCGTTTTTCTTAGGTGTTGTTTTGTTTCGTTTTAGAGAAATATCGTTCCGGAATGAGTTTAAAGAATAAGAGGTCATGAATATAATATAATATCTTTATTTTAAATCAGTAAACATCAGTATAATCTTTCAGTTAATTGTCAAGTTCTTCCTTCTTAATTCAAAGTTACTTAGACCTATCACGCTACACAGATTATGATATATTATTCTTTTTGTTTGCGTTACTCAATCACCCCTTCAAGCGTCAAACCAAGCGTCTGACCACAAAGACTACCAAAGGCACCGAGGGCCAACATTAATAAAACATGGTCGCCTTTTCACAGTCGTTGACTCCAGAGCTGCTACTCTCAACCTGAGAGCCTGGTAGCAGAATTAATTTTGACTTCTTTTCGAAAGGAAACTTTTTTCAGCCTGCTTGCCTAGCTCATATTCTAGCCTGGTTATTTTTTAAAGGACAATTTTGTCCGAGATGAACAAGAGGAGGTCAACGGGCCGTATCGGTTTCCTCGATCTTGATACACTTTTATTTCCGTCTCTGTTAAGAATTCGATCTGTTAAAATGAAAAGGCGGATTACCCGTCTTTATCGCAAAAACGGAGAATTAGTATCCGGGGTTTGAACTTTCCCATGAGAAACACCCCTCTTTGGTTTTTCCGATTAGGATGAACTTGAAAGATCGGGCACTTATGAAGAGGCTCTTGGTGGATGAAACTGAAAAAAAAAAAAAAAAGTACTTGAGAATGAATAAATTGACCAAACCCGTGAATTCGATTTGACAAAATGTTTCTGAAGATGAAACTCCATCCCTTGTTTACAGTGTCAACATCAAATTGAGTTCCAAAATCACAGCTACTAATTCCGCAGAAGTAACAAGTCCTAACAAGACCGCTTAAAAGCGCTTTAGAGGACAGGGACAAAAATTTGAGGAATGTTAAACCTGCGTCATAAATGATTTCTAACCCTAATTTTATTGTGCTCTGACGTAGTGCTGCCGCATGCGGTTTGTCTGGATAATAATAATCTTCGATAAAAATAAAGTTAAAAAAAAGAAGAAGAGAAAGATCATTAATCACCTCAAGGTGAAAATGAGCGACCCCTTTATCTTTCTTTTCTTTTATTGTCTGTCGAGATACATTGTAAACGTTTACGCCCCAAATTATTTGGTTAAATCAATTTACAAATTTCGGCCAATTTTCACCGGGAGACTAAAATACCTCCATCATCAAATTTATCACCACCCGCAGGGTTGGATTATGATTATCTGAAATTGTCAAGTCCTAACTCAGCAGCATCCTCATTGATTCACTACAAGTCCGATATGTAAACAACAGTAACTTGTTTTTTTGTTGGGGAGTAGGCATCTCAGCGTTGAACAGATTATGTCGGATGATCTGTAATGGAGTAATTTGACTAAGAGTGGTCCCTCCTTTTTAACAAAGTCAAAAAAAAAAAAAAAATGCAACGCCGTACGGAACTTCTTTTCGCGCGCGCGCGCGCGCCTCACTCCTACTGAGTTCCGCGCGCGAACATCATTTTATTAGCAAGAGAAGGTGCTCCTCTAACCTATGCTAGCGCACCACGTACCCTTGCTTGAGATTTGTTGATAATCAAAACAGCGAATAATAAAACAAGGGAAAAAACAAAGCTTATGATTTTTTTTCATGCTAACACCCGCTACTAGTCCTTAAAATTAATATTCAAAGTTAAAGCTTTGGGGCCCGTAAAATTCTCGGGAGTGTTGAGAAACTTACCAGGTGTTTTATTTTTGGTTGGGGTGTTGAAAGGAGAGGGGAAATAGGGCATCAAAGATCTGCGACTCTTGCGTAGCTTCAGTTTGCGTGCTGACCGTTTCTCCCTGCGTCTTCTCTAGCCTGGTATAGCCTGGAACCAGTCTAAAGTAAGGCAATCAGTTATGCGTGATTGGAAGCCTGTCATTCCGGGAAATTTCCCGCTGATGGACTTTTACCTCTAGTTCACCTCCTTTGATTTACTTTCGGTTTCGAACTACTGTAATCCATAAATTAAGAAATTTATGTCCAAGAGGACTTGTTTAGGCTTCGTGGCAACAACGCGACATTCCCGGAATGGAAAAGGGACAATTTTGACTGATTGGTAATCATGAACGGAAAACAAGTGCTATACAAACTTCTTCTCCTACTTCTTGTTCTGCAAACGACACACAGCTGCCCGAATCATCAACATGACTTTCGCGAGGAGGGATTCGGCGTCGCAACGATTTCTGTGCACAGTTCTGTTAAATGGGTCACAGTAAACAAGAGCAGACTTCTTGG